GCTACATCACTAAAAAAAAGAACATTGTCTTCTTTGATCTCAGCTAGGAACCTGCATCTTGAGCAACAAAGATTTTTTTTCCCTGCTCTGTGAATGTCTTTGAATGCCTAAAAGTGCTATGAGTACGGAGTTTGAGGTTACAAATACAGTAGGTTTCAATCTAACCTAAACAAGAAAATGGCAGAAGAAAGTTGTTCAAAAATCTGTCAAAAAGAAAGTAATGATGATAGTACACAAAGTAGACTACAGAATAGTTAAGCTAACTGTAATAATAATACATTATTTTTAGATAGCATATTACTGGGATAATATGTTCTATTAAAAATTAAAACATCAGTTCCAAATTTGAAAAACTGCTCCTAAAAGAGCAGGTAGAAAACTTTCCCTGCTATGGACAAATAAATATTGCAGTTTCTGAAAACAGAATTGAAGCAAGGAGCCAAGGAAACCTGGGAGGGCGAGGAAAAATCTATTAGATTAATCAGTTCTATTTTTGGTGGGTCTGAAATTAACCTCAAAAGTATAAAGCTTTCTTTATCATTACTGTTGCATAAATAAAAGATAATCTAAAGAAATAAAGCTGATTATCCTTACTCACGGGAACTATTTTGCTGTAAACACTGAATTAGGAAATACTGACCCATTGCTCCTTGGAAAAAATACAAGGTTGGGTTCCTGTATGCTGCAAATACTGAATTAGTGAACACTGACCCCTTGCTACTAGTTGGGTTCCTATGAGCCTATAATGACAATATTTTTGTTAACCAATCAATACATAACCTTTTTTAAAGGCTATGTATTAACTGTTTAAAGACACCTTATTTAATATATATTGCTGATTTATGAATATTGAACTAACAGCCAACAGCTGTAAATCACTATAACTTATATCTGAATGAAGCCTATCTGACATATATTTTCTCCATAAGGCATACTACAGCTTTCTTGCCATAGCACATAAGCACTATTCACAGGGGCCATTTTAAACAGTGAAATCATCAACCAAATACAAAAACGTAAAAATTATGGCACTAAATAGACCTCAAAAAAAGACACTTTTTTACAGGATAAGAAAAAATTCATGCCAAATTGTATATTTTCTAAGATTTCCTGAAGAAACTGATTGCCTCCCACACTGTGATCCGTTGAACTCAGACCTAACCTACAAATAGGGCAACTGTCACAAAATGAAGGAATTAGTATTTTAAAAAAGGAAAAAAAAAAAAAAGGCACTATGACATCATGCTTCCCTGTGGCCGTTTTGATTAAAACTTGGATCCAAACACTATCTCCAACCTTCAAGGCTAAAGTTGGCATGTACAGTACCCCATTAAGCAACTATCAGTAATATTTTAAATTACAACAGCTGTGAAGAAAAAGATAATTTTGTTTAGTCATGTTGTCAGGTTCTGACTGAGGCTTGAGGCGAGTCGGTGGGCAAGTGGCAGGTAGCTGGAAAAACACTCGAGGAATCACAGTTTCCACACGGCTTTACTCTTTCTCTGGGTGTGAGCAAGCTGTATGTACAGCGTAAGCAGGGTAATTACACCTTTTACAGACAACAGTGGTCTGAGCCAAGCATGAGCTCATGTGGTATGGTTACATAATGTGCGAGGTTGTGTGCCTGCACTCCAAACCCACTGAGTCATGCTGTGCAGAAAGGCCACCTCAGCCTACTCCTGACCACAGCCATTTCCCTTACACATGTATTAAGTTATCACTAATTTGTTTGTCTTACATTCATCCTATTATTCCATTACCTTTGTCAACATCCTGGTTCACCCCTGTAAGAAGATAAGTGCTTTCCTTATCCCATTTCAATTCACCACACCTACCACCAGACTAATCTTCCCAAGGCATACACTTATCTCACTGTCCCCACATTCAAATCCCATCAAGAGTTCACACTGCCATCTAGATGAGGAACACATTTCCAGTCTGGCTTTCAAGGCTGTCCACAATCTGACCCAACATACCTTTCCAACCTTCTTCCTATAATTCTCCAAAAGTTAACCTAAGCTCCAGAACACGTCAACCCTTCCTGTGTTTGTATCTTTGTTCAGGCCTTTCTTTTGACCTTAGTGCACTTCCTCATTTCCTGTTGATATCTGCTGCTTCAAGGCTTATCGCCACCACAAAAGCATCCCTGATTTTCCTAACTCATGTGTCTCCCTTCAAACAGTCTGATATCACTTTCTTTGTAGCCTTCTTAAGGCACTTCATCCTGCCTGTTGTCTAACAGTCATCTATCCTTTCTCCATGAACAGGATCTAAACTGAGTGTTTCTCGATAAAAATAAAAGACCAAACTCTGTCAAAAAGGTAAAAAAGACACATCTTATTTCTACAAAGAGAGGACAATGTTTTACTATAGATAGAGTAGAACATGTTCCCCAGCAGAAACCTCTAAAAAATTCAAACTCAGGCATGGTAGCTCATGCCTATAATCCCAGCACTTTGGGAGGCTGAGGCAGGAGGACTCCTTGAGGCCTGGAGTTCAAGACCAGCCTGGGCAACATAGCAAGATCCTCTCTACAGAAACAAAAAAACAGTTGGGCATGGTGGTGCACACTTGTCATCCTAGCTACTTAGGAGGGTGAGGCAGGAGGATTACTTGAGCCCAGGGTCAAGAATGCAGTAAGCCAAGATTGAGCCACTGCACTCCAGCCTAAGAACAAAGTGAGATCCTGTCTCTTTAAAAAAAAAAAAAAATTCATGATTAAATCAACAACCTTACCAGACAAAATGCCATACATTCAAATCATTACAGAGAACGTAGAACTGGGAGCACTATAGAGGTTGAGTATCCCAAATTCATAAATCTGAAATATTCCAAAATCTGAAACTTTCTGAGCTCCAACACATTTAATAGAAACACTCAATGGAGCATTTTAGATTTCCAATCTTTGGATTTGGGATGCTCAACCAGTAAGTATATAATGCAAATATTCCAAAATTTGAAAACTTCCAAAATTCAAAATATTTCTCATCCCAAGCATTTTGGATAAGGGATATTCAACCTATATTACTTTTCAAACAGAGCAATTCAGTCCCTTATCACCATCAATACATCATATGAATAATAAAGTGTAATTGTATTCTAATGCCTCAATTATCTAACATCAATAGGATATGAAGGATTCACAGAATCAAGTTTCCTGAAAAAGTGGTTTCCTAGTGCAGAAACAAAACTCAGGCATGCCTGCAGACCGGGCCAGCTGAAAGATGCTCCTGGGAAACCAATCTTGACTTCACCCAGTCTAGCAGAAAACACTCAGGCACAATAGGGAAGTCATTTTGTACCAGTTACTTGCAGCTGGTCAACAGGTAGGGAGCATGAAAGGAGGGTAAACAGGGTGGCAAAAACCCTGTAACATGTCAAAAGGACCTTTCGCCCCTGCCAGAATCCCCATTCCAGATTGCTGGTACCACATACATTTGTATGCCTCCAAGGAACTTTGCAGAGCTGAACACCTGAACACCTGTTATATCTCAAAACAAACTACGACATCACCTGCTGGAAGTTTCCATATCCTTTGCTATTGAAAATTTCACACTCTAAATTGTCTGTTATGGGTTGAATTGCATCCCCCAAAATTTATATATTAAAGTTTTAACCACCAGTAGCTCAGAATATGACCTTATTCGGATATAGGGTTGTTGCAGATGTAAAATTAGATGATGTCATACTGGAGGAGGGAAGGCCCCTAATCGAGTACAACTGGTGTCCATACGAAAACAGAAAATCTGGTCACAGACAAGTACACAGGGAACATGCCACATGAAGATGCAGTCAGATATTAGGGTGATGTTCCATAAGCCAAGGAATTCCAAAGATTGCCAGCAAACCACCAGAAAGGTGAGAGGCATGGAACAAACTGTTAGTCTGTCCTCAGAAGTAACCAACCCTGCTAACACCTTGATCATAGACTTCTAGCTATGGGAACTATGACAGAAATTTATGTTGTTTAAGCCACCTAGTTTGTGGTCCTTTGTTACGGCATCCATAGGAAACTAATACAGCATTTATTGGTGTTGACATCTGTTGATATCACCAACCCACTGTGGAAACCACCAGATATCTATTTCAGTAATCATACTTCTTAAAAATAAGTATTATGCTAATTGAACACACACAAGTCAATGGCTTCTATATGCCAGGCCCTAAGGACAGAGCAATATGACTGACAATGTCCCTGCCCTCATACAGATTATAGTGTAGTCAGGATAACTGACAACAAACCAAAATTACACAATGATAAAATTACGACTGCGTTAAGAACAAAAATGATATATCTCCCTTCCTCTTTAAACAGATGGTAAACACAATTAACCACGTATGGAGCCTGATGGTATAATTGCACGCCTTTCATTATTTTTGTTCCCCTCCCAGATGTCAGGTTGTTGGCTACCGCAAAGTCAGCTTTTATCAGCTACCCTCTTGTCTCTCTGCTCACCTCCTCCAATACATCTATATCTAATTTGGAGTTCCTAATTGACTCTGAGGTATACAAAATCAAGTAACTAATATTGCTAAGAAACATATACCATGTAACAAAAATTGCTGCAAGTGAAAACCGAAGATTTGGCTTTAATGCAGGACCTTCAGGTTTACTTTAGATTCTCAGAATTTTTGTTTTTTCAGCAGAATTCTGCTATAAGGCTCGGAGACAGAGAGCTATTGCTATATAAACTAGATGTTACCAAATAATGTTGTATATTGCCTGGCAAATGCTTGTTTCCTTTCAAAGGAAATGCAGTACCAGGAAACATGAAAAAGTTTTTCATTTCAGAAGTTCACTGTTCTTTCCATCAGAATATAATGCTTGCTTAAGGAAGAAATACTATCCAAAGTCAGAATTAAATAATTTATTGTCCAGTACAAGGCATAGTTTTGCTAATGGTGAATTGTTTAAAATAATATGACTGTGAAGTTATATAGCATCATAATTGGAAAGTCCAGGCAACATTTTTCTGAAGGGCTTAATAAATACCACCTACCTCTTATGCATATCCAACAATCATCTTTTTTGTTGTGTTTTTTAAGTTCTTCTTCAGTTACTTCAATTAACCTGCCTTTTAATCCTGTTAGATCCTTTCCACTTTTGGTCAGTCGAATCCAATCCATAAGGCTTCTGCCCTGTTTTAAAGGTACCTGAAAAAGGAAAAGGGAAGAAATAAATCTAGCTTCTTCATTAGTTTTAATTCCATTTTAAAAGATAACAAAACTCAAATCTCACAATTCTACAAATCTTTTTACAGCTTTAAAAGGCTGTCAATATTGTTTTCGCTGTATTTGAATTATAAAATGTAGGGCTTAGAAATTCTATCACACAAATTTTCACCATATTGATGTCAGGGTACAGTAGTCCATCAGTATCCATGGGGGACTGGTCCCAGGACTTCCCCCTACCCTATACCAAAAACAGGATCCTCAAGTGTCTCATATAAAATGGTAAAGTACTGACATATTCCTATGAACATCCTCCCATATACTTCAAGTAATTTCTAGATTACTAATAATACCTAAAGCAATGTAAATGCTATGTAAGTGGTGGTTGTACTGTATTGTTTTATAATTCTTATTTTTTAAATTGTTGTATTGTTACTGATTTTTTTCCCAAATATTTTTGATCCAAAGTTGGTTGAATCCTTAGACGTGGAACCCAGGGCTACACAGGGCTGACCATATAACAGGAATGGCATTGAACCAGAAATGAGAAAACAGGTTCTGGTCCAGGCTCTGACATTAATCTGTTATAGTCACCAGCTTGGACCAAAATTTCTTCACTTTAAAAATCAAAAGAGATTTAACAGAAGAAAAGATAAAGAAACAATTAGCTACAGTTGATTTTCTGGATTGTCAATATAAACAGACTATTAGAAATCATTAGTCAGAAATCTTATCTAAGAATCATCTGAGTAACAAAGTTTATCAAATAATGGAAAATAACAAAACTATAAAACTGTAGGGAAGGGGTCGGCAAACTATTGCCTGCACCTGTTGCTATACAGCTCTTGAGTAAAGAATCACCTTCACATGTGGTGAAGAGCCTGAAACCTTATGAGGCTCTCAAAGCTGAAAATACTACCTGGCCTTTTGCAGAAAAAAATGTGCCAACCTTGCCTAGGGAACTTAATTATTTAACAGGATGGTTTAGGTTTTTATTTTTTTTTTAATTTTTTTAAATATAAAATATATTTTCAAAGTTTTCAGATGAGAAGTATTATTAGTACGTTCACCAATTAAAACAACCTAGTGGAAAATTTTCATGGTATCTCTATGGAACTGTCTAAGCTTGTCCAACTTATTTGCAATGTAGAACCAGAAGAATGTTTAATGTAAAAGCAGACACACTCAAGGACGTTTATATATCTCACTTTCCAGAATCATACCTATTTTATACATCCATTTACCCCCAAAGTAACCACATTAATAAGTCTGTGGTGCTTTTCACATTCCATCCTATCAAACTATATCATCCCATTCTAGCTATCACTGAAACTCTCTAGGTCTCTTGATTCCAATAAATGAAGTAAGAGAAAATGGTCTTTCCCATCCCCAATTAAAGTCACTCACCTCTCTCCATTCCATAACCCACAGGATAGTTAAAGCAATCTTTCAGAGATGCAAATCTAATCATAGGCTCGCCCTCCTTCGGTGGCTCCTCAGGTTTCCTTATAACATCTCTAAATTCCCTAGGGATTCAATAGGTCTTCACAATCTGGTCATAGTTGACCACACTCGCTCCATGTTCTAACTTTTGCTTCTCTCCGTTATATACTTTAGCCAAATGGGAACTGATTATTTGATACATTGATTGCTGTCAAGTACTTGCTTAAGGTAGTGCTGCATTCTCTGCACAGATCAACTTCATCCCAACTCCCACTAATTCCTCTGGAAGGATTCTCCAACCCCCATCTCCTTCGTGGTCATAACACTCTCTTGTAGTACTTATGACATTACAACTGAATGTTCACTATTCCATGTAATCTATGAGACTAAACATCTTGAAATCAGAGATCACAAAACTCAATATTTGTTTACTAGTATTAATAGAAATAATAACTATCATACGTTGGGTGCATATTCTGTGTCAGAATCAAATCTGTGAGATCTGAATAAAAGCCTCAAGGCAAGCAGCATTTACTGAGTGCTTACCAAGGTTGTGCTAAGAGAGACATTATCTCACTGAATCCTACGAACAATCCGACAAAACGGGTGTTATTCTCATTTACACCTGAGGAAACAGACCGAAAGAGATTAACTGTTAAATATGGTGAAACGATACAGGTTTTCCTCACTTCAAAATCTGTGCCTTTAAACAGTCACAATTTGGCCGGGGGCAGTGTCTCGTGCCTATAATCCCAGCATTTTGGGAGGCCAAGGCAGGTGAATCACCTGAGGTCGGGTAGATTACCTGAGGTCAGGAGTTTGAGACCAGCCTGGCCAACGTGGTGAAACCCCATGTCTACTAAAAATACAAAAATTGGCCGGGCGTGGTGGTGGGTGCCTCTAACTCGAGTTACTTGGGAGGCTGAAACAGGCGAATTGCTTGAACCTGGGAGGCAGAGGTTGCAGTGAGCTGAGACCAAGCCATTGCATTCCAGCTTGGCCGACAAGAGTGAAACTCCATCTCAGAAAAACAAAACAAAGCAATTACAATAAGCCCTTAATTAAACTGGTCAATAGGTGCTTGGAAACTGTGACTTAAAGCAAAACTATGTACAGCTTATTTCTGGTCACAAAAATGTCACCAAACTTCTAAATAAAGACCAAAATACCTCTAATACTAAAGACTGAAATCAATGTTAGCTATATATACATTTAAGAAAAATTAAAAAACACGTACAATAATTATTACCCAACGATTCCAGTTCAACATCACAGGTAGTCAGAGCCTATCCCAGTAGCCCAGGGCACAAAGTGGGAGCCGACCCTGGACAGGACGCCATCCTACTGCAGGGCACACTCATACACACCCAACACTCATGCAAACTGGGACCATTTAGGCACACCAATGAACCTAACTTGCACATCTCTGGGCTGTAAGAGGAAACCAGAGTACCCAGAGAAAACTCAGACAGACACAGGTAAAGGGTGCAAACACCAAAGACAGGGACCCCAGCTGAAAACAGATTTTTTTTCCTTACCAATATTATAACTAAATGATCTTGAATGAAATAACGTTATTTGAGGGCCTGCTGCATAATACACAACCTTCCCAATGAGGTTCTATTTTCTCAACCAATATTCTATTATCTCATTGAATCCTATAAAATGGGTGTTATTCTTATTTACACCTGAGGAAACAGACTCAAAGAGATTAAGTGTGAAATACGGTGAAAGAATAAGGTCTGCCTCACTTCAAAATCTGTGCCTTTAAACAATTACAATTTGGCTGGGCGCAGTGGCTCGTGCCTGTAATCCCACCACTTTGGGTGGCCAAGAAAAGAAATGAAGGAAAAGAATGGAGTCTCTGAATTTTCCTTTGAATTGTACAAAAATCTTATTTTGTTCTCTTTTTGGACCAAAGACTCACCTTTGCCATCGCCACCTGTGTGACATTTTGTCTTTGCTTCTAAGTTTTCTCCTTTAAATGGATGCTAAGAACATAGTTGGTATTTTTAACAGAGAAGGGAAGCAACTCATATTCTCATTCAGAGATTCTCTCTGGAAAGACTGTGTTATTCAGCCAAGTATTTAGCTTCAAGAAATAGGTCAAAAACCAGTGAGGAAAATACATATGACTGGATGGTGAGATGACTGATATATGAATCAGTACATGAAATTTCACAGCAGAACCACATCACAAGCCTACGCAATTTAAGGCAACATTTCTTAACCTGTTTCCTTTTCTATGAAATTGAGACAAAAGCTTTCACTTCACAGAATCATTGCGAAGATTAAAGTTAATACATGTTAAGCACTGAGAATATACACGGCCACCTGTAAGTACTTAACAAATCTCTGAAAAGCTAATGAAAACTACAGATCCCTGAACCCATATTCATTCTGAACTAGAATTAGAACGGCAGGTCTAAGTGGAGAAAAATAAGAAAATCGATGAAGGTTCCAAACGATTAAGATTCAAGAGTTAATGAGTGGCCTAAGTAGGTGGAAGTGTCACAAACAAAGACATGGTTACAGAATGAGGAACTAACAAATAGGAACAAACAACATTCGCAAAAGAACGCAGAACACAATTTTTTATTGAATTTTGCAAATATAAAATATATTTGTACAGTATTCCACCTGTTGCTAACAGTAACTGTGCTCAAGAAAAACCTCAAGAGTATCATATTTGCTTCAAAGTTACCATGTGATACTAGGTGGGAAAGGAAATGACAAAACCATCAGGTACCAGGGTAAGAAAGAAAAAGACAGTGTGACCTGGAGAGTGTCTGTCCTAGCTCCCCTAGCTCCAGAAGTCCCCATCCTTGCACGAACGGTCACTGTTGCCACTGCCAAGCCTTTCCTTCCTGCGAGGGAACCCACACTGAGTGACGTGGTACAACTCCTTCGGGCAGTGAAGAACAAAAGACCAGGCAGATGAGGTTGTAGGAGGGACGCTAATACCGAGTGCCTATAATACCGCAAGCACAGTGCCTCACTCTGTCACATAGATTTAAATTTAATTCGCGGGAAAGGATTTGAAGGGAACGGACAGAGCGGGATAAAGGACCAGAAAGAAGAGGGGCAATTAGGGGAAAAGGAGGGAGGTTAGGAGAGTTTAGGGACTGCACGACAGAGTGGGATCAGAAAGAGGTTGCAGGCAAGGACAGAAGGGAAGGACCGCTTAGAGAGCGGCACGGGAGGCGGGAGTGGGGGCGGAAAAAAGAGAACACGCCGCCGGAGCCGAAACGCAGCTAGGGGCGAGACTCAAGGAGTCACCCGCTTACCTTGCTACGCCCCCCGGCGGCGACACGCTGCTGAGACCTGGGGGCCGGGAAAGACTGGGACGGGACGTTCAGCATCTTGAAACCCGTGCCCCGGGCTTTGCCCGGGGTTCACCGCGGGTCGGGCTAGCACCTCCAGCCCCGGCTCTGCGGCCGGGCAGAGGCCAAGCCCCCGACCCACTTCCGGGGTCGCCAGGGGTGAGACGCACTCTGACGCAGCACGTCCACGGAAGGCGGAGCCAACGGGACGGAGGGAGCGCCAGCTGGGAGGAAGTACGCATGCTCAGTTGGTTCCGCGTCCCTAACTTCAGCACCGGAGCAAGGTGACAGCTATTTCGTGGACCGATTAGAAAGTGAAGCTGTTCCTTAGCCTTGGTGCTGACCGAATCTGGGAACAAATTCTTAGTCCTGTTAACCCGGAACAGCAGTGTCTGTTCATTGTTAAGTAGTACCATCACACTACTTGAAATATAGAATAAAACAACAATACTACTAACCCATTTTAATTTCTCTGAAATTCTTTCCTGTAAGGCACTAGGCTGTACAGGAAAGAGCACCCACACCTTGAAGAGCAAAGGTATCAAATGTCAACAGCCACTCCTGTGGGGCAAGAAAAAAAACTTTACCTTTAAGCATCCTTAAACCTCACCTTTAAGCATGCTGGGGAGTAATGAATAAGTGAAAGACGTTAGTAAAGTCTCCTTCTTGCTCTATTCACCTCCTCACAAATTCTCCCTCCTTCTGTAACTTCCTCTTTCCTAGGAATTACGTACTGATGCAGCTCACCTCCAGCTGTGGTGATGAAGTAACGTTTAAAACTCAGATTTGGTTTGGATGCCATCCCCATGCACTTCATGACTAAGCTTTCTTATGCAAGTTACTTTAGTATCTCAAAGGTTCATTTTCCCTATCTGCATAATGGGTTTATTAAAGATTAAAGGGTCATGTGTGAACTACGTACTGCAGTGCGTGGTTAATATTAGGTACTCAGTAAGTGGCAGTGGCTCTTTGTACTATTCCAACATAATAATGGGAAAAGCACAAACACTGTGCAGGTAAACACCAGGCTCTAATGCTTAAAATCTGATGTTTTTTGTTTGATTCTTTGATTGTTTTGTGTGTCTCTTGGGGTACACATAGATCTTGAGAGTAGAATCCAATAAAGGGAGAAAGTTTTCAGGAGAAGAAACACAATTCTAAATAATCCTCCCCATCCTCCTTTAATAACTTAACTTGTCCTAACTCTGAACATATTGTCATGCTTCAAACTTTCTCTCTTTAGCTACTTAGCTCTTAAAGTGCCTAAAAATCAAAGTTATGTTTGTAGAATCTTTTAAATCAGAAGAAAAAGTTTGTGACTGTATGTGACCATTCAAATAAAAGGCATTTCTTAGCCAGGGAGCCACCTATGACCTTCACCTCTATCCATTTTTATTTGAAATTGAAATGCTTATTATGAGAAGACTGAATTTGAGCTAAAAGAATCTCATGACTTATAATTAACTATATGGCCTTGACCTTGCAAATTGCTCCTGTATTTTCTCTCTCTCATTAAATGATGACATATTCTTCTAGAGTTTACATAAGAAAAACTAATCACTGAGATTTATTTCACTTCTCATGAGAAAACTTTACATAAGAATATCAAAAGCAGAGAACTAGAGCAGGAAAAATTAATATTGTTAAAGAATGTTCTATACTTGCAAAATTTCTTAGCTCCCCTTTGTACAGAAATGGAAGACATTTTCATATTCTGGCCTTTAGACTCCACTTTTTTAGACTCTGTATCAATCACTCAAATTTAAATATTTTAATTCTAGGGATCCCTCAATGTAGTATATTAAGTATTAAACATCCATGCTATTTTACTACTGGATTTAAGGAATAAAGATGAGTATTAATATAAGAATTACTTTGCTCATCGTTTATTTAAAATATCTATAAAAGCCCTAAGATTGATTCCCCTTTTCAATTACAGATAATGATTTAATGTATTTTTCTCCATCTGCTAAGAAATCTTTACCAATAAATGAGTGATTTCTAACATAAGGCTACTTTCTTCATTATCTAATAACATAATATTAATCTGTAACTACAACATCCATGTGGTATCAGTAGGAAATAGCAGATGTTAAAAGATTCAATCTTGAGAATTAAATACTGTCATTCTTTGCAAAACTGTAACTAAATATAAATTTGTAATTTAACAAAGAAAAAAGTTATTCTTTGTAAACTGCAAATATTTATAATACAATCAAGACATTTGTAAATGGCACCTATTTTAGATTCCAACATTCAATTCTAGTGTAGATTTTTTTAAAAAAGGCCAAAAACCAGAATAATTACAAAATATTTCATTTTATTAATAATTTATATACAAATAAATTATTTAAAATAATTATGTTACATTTGTACACTAAATTTAAACCCTACAAGCTTTGGATGTAATCAAAAGTAGCTAATCAGATTAATTTTCACAGGTCAGCTCTGCAATTTCATCTTCACTATCAGAATCTTCATAAAATGAAATTGTGGCTTGAATTGGAAAATTTTTCAGAAGAGCTTCTGCTTCTTGATATAAGTAATCATAACACTTTGATTTTGGCCAAAATAGTCTGAAAAAAGCAGACAACATGTTTTATTTTTTCACATTCAGAATCTTTAAACTCATGAAATGGTCAAATTTCAAGAGCTCCATATATTTAACAATTACTTATACATTTGGATATAGCCTAAAGATATAGAGTTAAAATATGCTAGCATCACAGCTTTTATGGAATATACTTGCCAAAGTATTAATAACTGTTTGATTATTTTAAATCTTTATTCAAGCTCTAAATTGGATCCACACTAAACCCTGGATAAGCATAAGATCAATGTTTAGCTCACTTTGTGCATTATGGATATATTTATTCTTATAATATATAGAATATTTTTCTTCCCATTTCTAAATTCCTTTGGAAAACATAAATTGAATCCCCCTACTACATTACAAACTTTTACGATAGCCAGCTTTATAAAGATGACAAAATACTATGCACCTTACAAAAGGTGGAAATCACCTACTATCTTACTTAAAACTTACAGATTTAACTCTTATAGAAGTAGACAATGTAAGTTTAGAAAAGTATAAAAAGCAATATTTTTTAAAAAATGTTACCTATCCACTCACAACTTGAGGCATAGAAAGACTACTTCTGACTCCAACTTTGATTCTATCTGCCTCTCTTCTCCCTATTCAACTAAATTTATGAATATCATCTGAAATATTAAGAAATTGGATATATTTTATACAAATAACTGGCATGTAAGTATAATTACCTTAGAATTTTAAAAATCTGACAAATTCTAATCTTGCCTTCTGGTCTTCATCAAGGAAAAGAAAGAGGAGAGATAAGGAGGAAACATCAAATACAGTACAGTCATTTTAGTGCAGGGTAAACAGCCCATGCATCCATACAATGGAGTCATTCTAACAAATGAAAGATTGTATTATGTTCAGTATGTTCCATTTTAAAAGGCAGAAAAACAATGTAGTTTATAAATGTTTCCAGCAAAAATCATAAAAATTGTTCAAATTTTTGATGCTTAAATAACTATCAATTATTCAGTCATTCAATAAATAATTTAGTGATCCCTTGTGCCAACATAATTCATAATTCAAGGATGAACAAATCATGGTCCCTACCGTCAAAAAGTTGACAACTGCATGAAAAGAATAAAACACACCATAGCAGTCAAGATAGAAATGAATAAAAATAAAATAAATATAAAAGAAGCACAATTAAGCTGTAATCATACTTCAGAAAAGAATTTCTTATATAACAAACAATTTATTTTCTAATATGTAACTGGAACTAGCAAACCCAAAGAATGCTGTTTAGTTATTATGATACTCTGTCCAGAATTTCCCACTGTGGGCCATTTTTCTCACAGGGTCTCTGAGATTCTTCATGTTCTGTTTTTCTCAGTCTCTGTTAATGGACCTCTCTTTCTCTGCATACAGGTAAGATGCTGGCCTTCCCTCGGGTTTTTGCTGGGAACATCAGCCCTCCTTGTAAACAAACTAAGATGACCTGGCCCACTGTCATGATTTTCCCACCCTACAGTTACCATGGACTCCCAAGTCTGTATTTCCACTTAAGATCTTGACCCTGGGCCCCTAACTTATGTATGCAGCTCTCTACTGGATATCACTGTTTGGATGCTCCACAGGCACATTAAATGTAAGTGGAAAACTTGCCTCATAGTCTCACCTTCCAAATCTGGTTTCAGCCCTAATTTCCATTCTTTTAGTATAGCATTCACTTGGTCACCAGCCACAAACTGAGGAGCCATTCTGGCTTTTTACCTCTTCTTCATCTACCATATCCAGTGCATTATAAAGCCTAATCTATTTTGTCACCTAAGTATTTCCTAGATTCACCCAGTCAGTCCCATCCTCACTTCTAGTGTCTTACAATGGCTCTTTATCATCTCTTACCTGAAAAACTGCAGAACTTCTAGTTTTACTTTTGATGTCCTGACTAAGCCTATGTAACATATAATCCCCCAAACTACCTTCAGAATAAGGTCCATGAATTCCCAACACCACATACAGGATCAGGACAAAACTCTGTACAAGAATGCACAAGATCTTGCCTCTGATTACCCTGCTGAAATGACCATAACTTCACACACCTAAACTCCTTAGAGTTCCCACAAGGAGCCACACTGTTTCATGATCCTCTTTTCCAATGCTATTCTTCTGCTCCCACCTCCCATTCATCTGACTAACTTCTCCAAGACTCAGCCAGGTAACCAACCACAACCTATAATAAACACTTCACCCACCCTTCCCCCTACCACTGACAGATTGAGACTCTTCATACCCTGCCCATACTTGTAAAACTAACCAAACTAAACTCCATTACAACAACTGCCATGTGCCATGACTACTTTTTCCTGTGTCCTTCACAAGTGCTAGTACGTGGTAGGAAATTAAATGTATTGACTTCTACATGGTATTTATGACCACAGGCATTTTACAAACATCGTTCAGCTCTTCATTTAACAGCTCTTGGAGGCAGGAAAACTGCACAATTATTAACATTTCACCCTAATAAAAGTGACAAAGAATCTTAAAGGCTGACTTCCTATGGCTAGGAACAGTAAACTAGCTCGTCATTTAATTAACTTTTGACCTTTTCTATCACCATCCTCGGTAATCTTTAGGATTTTCATTACATTTCCATTTTCTCTTACAGGGCAAACTTAATTTGCTCTAAGACTGCCACTGTTAATCCCATTCTTACTTCCCGATTGCAAGACAAAAGCAGCATACACACTGTGCCCGATGTGAAGTCAATTTCATTCCGACCCTTTAGGATTTAAAAACAAAAACTGTTTTGCCAGCACAAGACGTCACTGCTCTTTTATTATACCATCCACTTTCGCTCTTCATAATACATTCCTCAAGCGTTCATTGAGCATGTATTGATTAAAACTCTCTTTACATGAGACCGTGAGCCCCTACACTTTTCAATTCGATGAGTAACGGATCTATGCGAGTGGGAAGGTAAGTAACCTTGAAGATAGATTTTCGAGGGGAGGGGGGAGAGAGAGAGAGACAGAGACAGAGAGAGAGAGAGAGAGAGAGAGAGAGAGAGAGAGAGAGAGAGACTGCTGCAGGACGAGCCGCGGAGCTGGGCCCTGAGATGCCCCTGGCTCCTCCCTGGGGCTGGAGGAGCAGAAGACCTTCGGCGAGGCCTGTCACTCACCTGACTGGGTGTCTGAACTGGGAAAGCTTTCCTGAGCCTGCTATCATTCCAGGACCATTGGACATCTGGAGACGAAAGGAAGTGAATCCAGTTATCACCCACCTCCCTCTAAAAAGTAGCAGCGTGTGCGACCCAGTGTTCCTCGTGCCCGTTGGGAACGTAACCCCAGTGATCTCAGCGGCCTCGCTCCCCCCGGGTGCCTGTGGCCCATCGCTCCTGAGGACACAACCGCCGCGTTGGCACTGTTTTGGCCACTGGCAGGCGGGATATTAAACGAAGGCAGGGCCGGTGCCCCGCACGTCTCTCTCCGGCCCCGCGTCCCGAAAGCCGTGGTCGATCTTCTGCACCCCTGGGAAGCGCGGCCTGAGACGCCTGGCTCACTCACCGCCTCCGCGGCGTGGTTCCGCGTCTCCTCCTCTTTCTTGCCTCTGGCGTCCACCCAGGGTCTCCAGAAGCCTGCGGAGCTGCGGGATGGGGAGCACAAGGCGCGCAGAGGAGATGTCAGCCCAGACCCGGGAGAATCCACGGAGGCCGAACACTGGCACCGGGGGGTGGGGAATGGCGAGCGGAGGGGAGGAGCTGGAGAGGCGCAGGCGGGAGGGACTGGGGACGCGGGGAGGCGCAGAGCAGTGCGGAGGAGCCTACCCGGAGCCCGCGTCCCCGCGCCGCGTCTGGCCTTCGGGGACTGCGCGCGCTGCAGCTCGGCTCTCCGCGCCTTCTGCGCTCCCCGCGGTCTCCATGGCGCCGGGGAGCTGGGCGGAAGGCCGCTGCCTGCTCGCGGGCAATCTTGGCCGGTTCCAGTGGATCCGAGACCAGAGCTTTATATAGCCCTTGCAACCTGCTGCGCATTGGGAGGTTCGCTCCCTCTCCGCCCCGCTCACCAGCTAGCCGCATAAACAAAAAGGCTGCGCGTGAAGGCGCACCGGGCTGAGCCCAGGGTGTGAACGCGTGCAACTCCCAAATGGCCCGGGACGGGATTTTGTTCAGCGAATGTTAATCGCCCTTTGACACATGACTGCGGTGAAAAACAACATTCGCCTGAGCAGCCAATTTCCGTGTGAAGAGGCCAGGAGGAGATGAAATTAAGCGAGTCTACATGTTTTGCGTATTTCTTAAAAAAAAGAAGAAGAAGAAGAAGCAGCAGCAGCAGCAGCAGCAGCAGCAGCCGCCGTCGCCAAGTGACTTGGTTAATTGCTTGATTCGCTGGAGACTCAGGACTTGGCCTGTGGCCAAACAACTGGTTCTGCATCTCATGTTCTAGAAACTGGGATGCAGACTCGAGTTCAAAGGAATGATCTTAATTCCTCTTCCTGGAACAGTTTTTTTTTTTTTTCTTTTCTTTTCTTTTCTTTTCTTTTTTTTTTAAATGGGTGACTGGATGGACTCCTTAAGAAAAGAATGTCGGATTTGTTTTGTTTTGTTTTAAGTATTGATAGACTAGGTTCATACGCCAACCTGTTATTATTTGAAGATAATAATCATTGTTCTAAGAGAGCCAGAGACTGGACTCATGTGATGTGGGCCTATGGCTCTAAATTATCTTCTTGTGTCTTCTGTGTTTTTTCCAACATTTTTCAGTATCCTTCTGAAATAACTTTTGAGTTCATCTATACACTTCTGTCACTACTTGGTATTTTGTCACTCAATGATAATTAGAAAATTCCTTTTTGGGGGCAGATGTTGTGGAATGATAATGAAATCTTGGAAAGTTATGATATAAATTAATCAAATGTCTGCATCCCTGTTTCTCTGATTTGAGTTACAGTGAGGGCACTTAACTACTACTAAACTTTGTAAAAAGTGTTATGCCTCAAAGGAAAGATGATACATAAACGTTATAATTTTTTTCAACATAATTTAAATAATGAAGCTGAACTTTCTCTTTAAAGTTTAGACAACGTTGATTGTAGGCTATAGTTGTCTCTGCTATTCATTCAGCTACTGCATAGAAAAATAATTTAATTATTAATAGTAGCTAAGAGCCTTAATGATCTACCTGCCAGGAAGGTAAGATTTGGGTTGCTTCTGAAGAGAAAATCAGTAAGGACAGATACCTAATGCATGTCTCCATCCCTTACACTTATTGTTAGGCTAAATAAAATAAAGCTTACAGAGTGCTTTTTGCAATGCCTGACATAAGTAAGCCTTCAACAGATTTTAAGCTATGTAAAAAATATAAGCCCTTAGCAGATGCTAAGCTTTCTGATAAAATGGCTTATTATTTCTGTTCCATAATGTAAATTAGTTCAATCGTTATGGAAGTCAGTGTGGTGAGTCCTCAAAGATCTAGAACCAGAAATAAGATTTGACCTAGCAATCTGGGTATATACCCAAAGGAATATAAATCATTATTTTACAAAGATGCATGCATAATATTTGTATGTATATGTTCATTGCAGCACTATTTGCAATAGCAAAAACATGGAATCAACCCAAATGTCCATCAGTAATAGACTGGATAAAGAAAATGTGGTACATACACAGCATGAAATACTATGCAGCCATAAAAAGGAACAAGATCATGTCTTTTTCAAGGACACGGGTGGAGTTGGAAGCTGTTATCCTCAGCAAACTAATGCAGGAACAGAAACGCAACCACTGCATGTTCTCACTTATAAGTGGGAGCTCAATAATGAGAACACCTGGACACAGGTAGGGGAACAAAACACACTGGGCCTTTCAGGGGTGGGATGGGAGGAGGGAGAGGATTAGGACAAATAGCTAATGCATGGATTACTCAAAGAATAGTATTGTCTGGGTGATGCAGGAGTAGGAGGAAAAGGAACTAGGTATCACTGGAGCAGAGATGCTGAAGGGATAGAAAGGGTTTGAACGATCAAGAGCCTAAAATGCTATGCTAAGTCACTTTGACTTTATTCTGTAAGCACTGGTGAAAGATTTTAAGCAGGAAAGTGGAATGGCATTTTATACAAATCATTCTGGCAGCCATATGGAAAATGGATTTAGGAAAGGGTAGAGATAGGAAGTCCATTTAAAAGGCCACTGTAAGAGTCTAGGCAAGAGATAGTAAGAAGATGTACACTAAGAATGGAGATGAAGTGATAGAATTGAAGGATACCTAGGAAATAGAATCTGTAGAACTACTTGAGTCATAAAATGTAGGTGGACATGAAAGTGGAGTCTGGATATAGTCCCAGGTTTCTAGCCTGGTTAAGTGAGTAAATGGTGATGGCTCAAACACAGACGTAGAAAACAGGGAGCATAGGATAAAGAGCAGGTGAGATCCTCTTATGTTGTTTTATTCTGTTAATGGTGTGCAGGAATAAAAATAGTGAGAAATAAAAATAAAAATAGTTTGGTTTGGAATCTTAAATCAGTCAGAATGGGCTGGGTTACATGGTGGTAACAAATAACTCCAAAATCTCACAGGCTTAAAATAGCAAAGGCTTATTTTTCACTCGTGCTTTATATCCATGTTTGGTTGGTGGGAGGTCTGCTCTACATCATTTTCTCTTAGGGATGTAAGCTGATGGAGCCTCTTCCCTTGGAATGTTAGCAGTTTTCATAACAGGGAGAAAAGAATAAAATCATTTGTGTACCAGGTTTCAGAGGTTTCTGCCTAGAAGGGACACACATTTCACTAGCTAAGACAAGTCACACAACACACCAATTTCAAAAAGCAAGGAAGTGCAATTCTACTATGTGTTTAGAAAGAGGAGAAACCGAAATAAACAACATATAGGAGTGCCATCATCTGCCCTTCTGGCAACTGAATATTCATTTCATCTTCCTTCCTATACGTAAAGTACAGTCACCTCAGGAGAAGAACTTAGAATAGATCTAGGACTTCGGAAGGCTCAGTAACACATAAGTGGAAAGATATTCGGGGGACAACCAGAGATATGAGGTCTGCAGTTTAGTAGAGAATTCAGGGCTAAAGTTTAAATGTGAGAGTCATCAGCAAAGAAATGGCAATTAAAACAATAGGAATTGATTCGTTTTCCCAGGGAAATTTTGTAGCTTGAGTCCAGGACCAAGGACAGTAGCCTAGAGATCAACATTTGATTGTAAGGTGAGAGGATATACAAAACAAAACAAAACAAACGAACAAAAAAAAACCCACCCATCTCACTGAAAAGGAGTGGTGAATCTGGTAGAAAGTGGATCAGTAGGCCAGGCACAGTGGCTCACTCCAGTAATCCTAGCACTTTAGGACAGCACAGTGGGAGGATCACTTGAGCTCACCAGTTCAAGACCAGCCTGGGCAAGTATAATGAGAGCTCATTTCTACAAAACAAAATTTAAAAAATTAGCCTGGCATGGTGGTGCGTTCATGTAATCCAAGCTACTCAGGGAGCTGAAGCCAGAGGATCACTTGAGCCCAGGAAGTTGAGGCAGTGAGCTATGATCATGCCACTGCACTCTGGCCTGGGTGACAAAGCTAGACTGTGAGGAAGGAAGGAAGGAGGGAAGGAGGGAAGGAAGGAGGGAGGGAGGGAAGGAGGGAAGGAGCTACTCTTTTGAGAGAAAAAATAGAGGAAGAATGCTGGGTCCATAGAGGAGTCTTGTTTTTAGGGCGCAAAGACAAAAGTATGTTTGTAAAACGAGGAGAGGAAGCAGAAGAGATGCTTCTGGAGAGGTGGGGGCTAGATGATGGTTCATGGTCCCCGAGGAGGAAGGAAGAACTGAGATCAGTAGCCCTGAAAAGAATCCTCAGAAGACTGGAGCATGTGAATCAGTGATGATTATGTCTGGGAACTCCCAGGAAACAAGCTTAATCAAGGTGACTAGTTCTGGCTTGGAGAAGGAAGGGTCTGCTGTAATGATGAGACACAAAATGGAGTGTATATCAGTTGTCTTAAAATTGTAAGAAAAAAAGAAAAGAATGCATTACTGGAAAAAAAGGAGAATCAATTAATAAAAATGTGGCAAGAATTTTACTTGACCAAATTTAAATAAACTGAGAAATAGAAATATAAATTATTAGGAAGATCCTAAACCTACCATTTATACTTTAGTTTCATGTATGCTACCTTATTTTATTTTATTTTTTTTAGATAGAGTCTTACTGTGTTGCCCAGGCTGGAGTGCAATGGCATGATCTCTGCTCACTGCAACCTCTACCCCTGCCACTGCACCTGGCTAATTTTTGTATTTTTAGTAGAGACTGGGTTTCACCATCTTGGCCAGGCTAGCATTGAGCTCCTGACCTCATGATCCACCCACCTCAGCCTCCCAAAGTGCTGGGATTACAAGCATGAGCCAGTGCACCTGGCCTATGTTACCTATTTATACAGATCTTGAAGCTGATTTCTATGAGGCCAACATCAATATGCTATTTTTCTCTTAGTTTTTTGCATTACTTATCATTTCCATCAAAGATGGGATTTCTTAGCTAAATCATTAAGGAGGATATTAACTTTAAGCTATGCCTAAAGAAGAGAAAACAAGTACAATTTTCAGGGACATTATATTTATTTTAGAACATAGATATGTACTTCTTAACCAAGCCATGTGCAGTATGAGGATGTAAAGCTCTGTAAAATAAATATAAAGAGATACAGAATCATAAAATAACATAATCTGAGGCATAACTTACTCACGTTACAGTTTTAATTTATTTTAGAATTGTATACTGAGTTCCACAAGCGCATTTTAAAAAATGTATTTTACGTAACATATCAACACACTTTTCATAACACACCAATGAGATGGATCAAGCTTAATAGTTCATTAGGAGAAACATTTTTTAAAACTTCATTTATTTAACAAATATTATTGAACACCTACTATGCCAAACACCATTTGAGGATCTTGGGATATGTTAAATGCACACAACTGACAAAATTCTCATATTTTTATGGAGCTACCTTCTAACAGACATCTGTGCCATCAAGCTTTATGTTTTACTAAGAGAAGGTATTATAAGTT